CACACACACAAACACACACACACGTGCGCGCGCGCGCGCTCAATCCAACCCCCAAAAAAAGTGACGCAAAATTATTTTTTTTAAGCCTTTTCTGTTTGGAAACAGCGGTATTTCTACCAAAAACCCGAAGAAACTGAAGTGAATTATTAATTCTTACTCAAGCCTGCAGATGTTTGGAACATACTTCGTCATATTTCAAACGACATTTCTAAAGTGAAATAGAATAGGTCATTCTACTTTTCTGTTCTTATAAGTCGTAATATAATATTTTTTTGTTCCAAAAATGAAATGACCAGATTACTGGTGTACTGTTGGTAATTTTTTTTTACCCCTATCCGTACGCCTTGGGGTCATTTTGTACCCCCGGGGTTGTATTCTTCACATTTTAGTATACTTCTTCTAGTTCAAAGATCTCTTTTGAAACTTTCAGTATTTCTCAAAAAAACATTTTGAGGAGTAAATTTCCTCTTTGGAAAGTGGTAGCACAGAGCTCCCCACGTCGTTTGGATACGATAGTAAAACACGACATGTGGATAGGGTAAAGGGGGCGGGGAGAGTTGTTCATGAAGTGGAAACGGCTTCTTATGAGGGCAGTCAGCCTTTAACCACCCACATGCTATCTGTGTCAGTCGCCGTCAACTGGTGCTCAAATTCTTTCTCCCAAGGACTCGATGGTCTGCCATTGTTGACCACAAAGCTAAGCGGTGCCTTTTGTTCTTCCCTACCAAAGTCGCCAGCTGCCAAAGACGGTACCCCTGGAACCTAGAGATTGCCATGGGTGAGACACGTGACTATGACATAGTAATAGTATTGTTTTGGTTTTAGTAAGAGTTTTACGGCACTTGCAACACAATAAGGTCATATAAATGCCGAAGATCAGAGGCGTTACAAGAGAGTAACAAACACAAAAAGAAGGAGGAGAGATGAGGACGATAGATGTTTGAGTTTGATAGGAAAGAAGGAGCAAGGAGCAAACCACACCAGAGCACCCGCCAACCACCCACAATAGTATTGTAATAATAAGAGTTTCGCCTCCCATCCCCTTTTCCCCCACATTCTCAAATAAACACACACACACACACACACACACACACACACACAC